GGGGGGGAGGGAGGAGGGGTCGGCGCTTACCTCTGTCACGCCTGATGGAAGGCAATTCCGGCGCTGAGAGAGCGCCGTCGCTGTCCTCTTGATCGATCAGGCCCGACGCGACCGTGCTGAGGCCCGACCTGAGACCCGGCTGCTGGGGCAACGTCCGACCGCTTCGTGGTAGCGAATTCGACCTTAAACCTGCGGAACAATCTTGTAATTTATAAAGAGGAATGTATTCCGCCGGAGGTTTCGGATTTAATGCTGTTATAATTCTCCGTGATCCCTTTGGATTTGCATAGCATTTATTACCCACATAGTTCTCTGAATACTCCAACTTAATACACGATTATAACTAGCAAATTCTATTTTCGAAATCTGTGTAGGGTTCTTGAAATTACAAATCGAAGAAACTAAACGCGCGTACTATTTCGCTTATCTCCGTGAAAATTGATTTGCAGAATGATATTATTAATCGCAGTTAAATTTATATAACTTCGCGCGGGCGCGAATGTAATTTAAGTTCGATAATTCACTCGACTCACCTGAGGAACTCTGACCGATTTGTGACCTCGATAGGGTAGCTAAATGCGACACGGCGCTGCTTTGAGATGGATTGCTCATATTGTGCCTGTAATAGTAATACGCTGATTTCGGTGAACTAGAGCACGTAGCCTCGGTATCGGAGGCATAGTCCAACGACGGTCGATGCCGCCTCGTCAAGGTGCCGAATTGTCCTTGTCTCTGCGCGGCGGACGTTACATCAGTCTGACCGTACCTCGGGTTGTAACGTAATGCTGACGTACCTAATAACGAAACACAATGCTGTTAGGCTACAGCAAATGCATCTATTATCGCAATTAGAAAATATCAACTTCACACGTTTTAACTTTATTTTAATCTATAAAATTTTCTCTATACCGAGTTCTTTTGATATATTATCTATTTCATATTTTTCCTAGATTTTCCGTAACAATAAGTTACATTATTAATTTGTTATTATTGCAATAACGAATTAAAAAATGAATTAATTACAAGTATTTTATGGAATTAATTTTAGAGATTTAGATAGGTAATTCTTATTGAAGGAAATTTCCATGCATACGCACACATACACGTCTCGGAAGATGGTGAGAGAGGGGGAGAGAGAGAGAGAGAGAGAGAGAGAGAGAGAGAGAGAGAGAGAGAGAGAGAGAGAGTAAATACTTCGATGATAGGTAAACTCATTACGAACCTGATTTCAAACTAGATCTAAGAAGAGTATGTCGCGCCGGCGTCGTGATGCTCGTGTAATCGACTCGGGGTAGGTGCTGGTCGGAACCACTCCTCGGCATGATCCTTCCGCTTCCGGTGTGCTGGCCGTAGCCGTAATGGGCCGACTGCGTGGTTTGGCCCGACAATCTGCCGACTGATTGCATTCCGCCACCCGCCGACATACGTCGGGCGCCGTTCGAGGGCATCATGGGCCCCGTGTAGAAGGGGTGTACCTAATCGCATGATCGCACGAACTCTTTGAGTATAATTCGCAAAACGTTTCCTTAATAGTTCCTTAGGTAGATTTTCTTAAAGTTGTTGATCGCCGTGACTCGCAAACATTCCCGTTTCTTTCTTTTTCAACAATCTCAATTTATTGTCAATATAATTATAATTTTTCGTAGCTCCGAAATTTAGATTCTTGCGTAAAAATTAACGTCAACGGCAATTACAACGATAATGTCAGATTTGCTACGGTCGATCGATGACATCGATTACCTTTTGATTTAGCAATGTATATTTGATGCTTATAATATAATTCGTAAGCTCTGATAAAAAATAGATTAATACATAAAAAATTTAAAACTTCAAAAGAAATATAGATATTTTATAGGAACATGATCTGTATACAATTAAACATGTATACAAATTTTATAAGCTTAAAAATTTTAAACTGCAGTTTTTGGTAGATTATTAAAATTTATAGCTTTGCGGAATGATGCTGAGCAGAGCGCTGGCAATCGATAATCGACCGAACGCGATAACGCTAGCCACGACAGTGATTAACGTTATCCAGAACACAGGCACAAAACGCAATCGAAAGAACAAACGGACAGCAAGCCAGCAACAAGGAAACATAAAATTAGGGTTCACGTCGCAAACAGCGGCAGGTGTACGCGACTTCTACGGTTTAAGAACGCACATAAATATCCGTTAATTCGCGTTACGCTTTTTCTAGGCAGAACTCGTTAAACGAATGCACTGGTGCACCGTCGAGAGTACGGCTAAACATTTCACTCGTTTGCCATTAAACGCCCCCCGCGATCGTTTATTAACTCTTATAAACACTTCTTATAGCCGAATAATTTATTTTATCGCGAGTGTAGAATCTTCTTTTTTTTAAATTAATTCTTTCTTCATTAATATCAAAGTTTAGCCACAAACGATTTTTATGATTATAATAAAAGAAGTAATTGAATTTTAATGAGTAAAATTATGTGTAATATTATTTAATAATCAGGTATATCTATAAATCGCTATTATATTATTTCGTAATTTCTTTGATAATTCAACGATGAAAAAGATGCAATTATGTTCATATCTTTTTTTACTATACTTTTTTACTATTGGCAAACGTATATTTAATCTTCTACATTTTACGAGCTCGATCTCGGGCTTTACATTTTAAATGCACGTCTCAGGAAAGAATGAAAGAATCAACGTTGAATTTTTTAAAGAACTGAGAGTTTAACGAGATGATGAGAATTTAAAAATGCGTTGCGCGTGGGCGGATGCACTGGCGCATTCGTTCGTGTCGCCAAGTATATTACACGAGAAGGGAGGGAGAATATATTTATATAACTCGTCCATTAGAGGCATTATACAGAAAATTGCAGTCATACAACAAGTCTAGAGATATCAAGATAGAGTTTGTGTTGTCTTTACCTTTGTAAAATCCTGGTTAATTTCAATGTAGCATTCATTCATAGAACCGATTAGTCATTTGAAGCACGATGGTCGATACGCGAGCGAGATCGGCGACACTCCGCGTCGTTCGGAAATGCATTCGTCGAAATTGTCGAGACATTCGCTTTCTCGACGTTTATACTTTCTCACGACGTGTTTACTTTCGGGATCATCGGAATAGAAATCCGATACACACGGAACGAACTTACGAAAGAATCGACATTTTATATATACGAGCGACATTTTGATGGTCGCGAGAGACGCGTCGCGGTTTCTGATATTTTTCAAAATTTTTCTCCCATCCGAAAGTTATTTCGCGAATTGTTCATCTTAATTCCGACAATCCGAATGACACGGAGATCGCGACAGCAAGTGTCCCGAGACATTGCCACGAGTTCACCACTTTATTTCAAGTCGTAAAATAGAGCGTTCATTGGAGACAGTGAAGGGCAAACGAGTATCGAATTGGTGCAGACAGATATGAAATGGTGCTCGATCCACATCGTCTAGAACATCTATGCGTGAACTACATCGGATCGAGATCACATGAGTGACGTGTGTTTCGAAAAAGTTGATGTCGCTATTACGACGAATAATGTACACATGAATAATGTACACATAATAATTTACACATTCTGTGATAATTAAAATAAAATGATAGTTTTTTTTATGTTATAAATGCAATTACTCGAAAATTATTATTTTATCAAAATTAATATTTAACATATAAGAAGACAGAATATTATTAACTACTTTATATTTATAGACCAATATTCATGTCTTGTGTTAACACTCGTCCATTAAATTATTGATTCACTTGAATATATTAAAATTCAAAAATCCTTTATTCTCTAATTTTTAATTCAGAAAAATTTTATCCCGAAAAACGATTAATTTTTCGACGATATTTTCCGTCATTCTGACTGATCTCGATCCGCGTCGGGATTTTCGTATTTCGGCGCTTGAAATATAACGCGGAACTTACTTTTTCGGCCAGGCTCTCCAGTGTCTTCGGATAACCGCGCTCGTACGGCTGAAAGTGTTGCGTCGACGAAGGTTTCGGCTGGTGCGTGATAACCGGCGGCGGCGGCGGTTGATAGGACCAGTGACCCTCTGGCCGTGAATTATAGTACAGATCGCCGTTGCTCGAGCCGAGATCCTGGCTCGATCCCAAACCCGTGAGACCGAGTCTCGATCGCGACGGCAACATTTCGCGCCCGTCGCCGCGTCTACGGCTACTGCCATCTCTATACATATGAAAAATCGATTTTCGTACATTATTCGAAAACCCGCTAATGATAAAGCTTACTGTCCTAATTTAATTAAAAAAAAAGATTACAAAGATAGAAAAACTTTAAATTGTCGAGGTCAAACGTCGGGACTGATATAGTACTGTTGTTATAATTGGAGGATTGCCCTCCATGGAATATATCGGCTTTTCGCTAACAATCAATTTACAGTCTTAACAAGCTTCTGTACGAATAGAGAGAAGAAAGATAAAAAAAAAGATTTGTAATGACGTCAGACGGCTTTTATAGCCGTCCACGCGGTATCTTGAAATAATCAATTTGCGAGATGTCTCTTGATTAATTCAAGGAGAGAGCAAGATATAGAAATCAGTCATATAGAAATGAGAGACAATCACCTGACGTGATTACTTGTCGCGTGGTCACTCTCGTCCTCGTTCAGATCCCTTTTGATGACTACCACGGGCGGCGCCTTGTGCTCAGTCTGGCGGCTGTGCGAAATCGGTTGATGCGGACCGTGCCTCGTGGCCAGGACGAGTCGCCTCGGTATCGACATGATGATCACGACGTCGTCCAGGCTCATGTGCGTCACATCGACCAGATTCACCGCCAGGATCTCGTCACCCACCTGCACGTGCGAATGCATAGTGACTGCCGGATAGCCGACAAAGGACGGAGGAACGAACAATACCGCGGCGAACGAGAGGATAAATATCCTCTTCGAATGCGAAGGGAATCGATCGATCGCCCGAGACCCGCAAAATGTCAAGGTGCAAAAGGATAAATTTAATTCGGCGCGTTCTCGCGCACCCCGCCGTCGCGTCCCCTCTCTCTTTCTTTCTCTCGAAATAGGTTCCCCAATCCTAAATGGCTGCCCCGAGCTCGTTCCGAGCACCGGCGGCAATTAAGTTCTCGCCTGGCAAAAAGAAGACGAGGGGACGATTCACGGATGTGTCTCGATTTTACTGCTCGCCTCGTTCTCCCCATCGTTGTCGGTTTCTCACTGTCGTCGTTGTCGTCGTCGTCGCGGCAACGGCGAGCGAAACTCGCTCGCAGGAACAGAGCGAAGAATGCTCACCTTCAAGCAGCCGCTGTTGTACACGGCGGTCTCCAGGGCTATCCTGGAGATAAAGACCCCGTCATTCCTGTCGACACCGTTGCCCTCGCGTATGTAGAGGCCGAGGGTCTGTCCCGGTCGTTTGATTATCTCGACAAAGTGGATGGGGTGCTTAGGATCCTGAAACGAAGATCGCCGGCGAACTTTCTTAATTCGTGCCGTCGAGATATTTCACAGCGTTCGCGCGAGCGCGCGCCCCGGGTGAAAATTACGTTGCGCAAAATTGCTTCGTTGTCGTGAAAATAATTTTCTCTTGTACCACCCGGGTGGTACAAATGCGGTGCAAGCGGATTGTTACACTCCGTTCTAGCCTAACTCTGTGACAAGGCGAGTTAAATTCGCGGTGAACATTATCTCTCGATGTCTAGATAATTTATCCGATAATTTCGACAACAGCTACACATTATGAGTTTCTACGTTTTTAAAAAATTAAGTAAAATAAAATAAAAAATATTGCACAATCCACCTAATTTTTAACTTAAATTTCAGTCAAGTTTCATATAAAATTATACCTCTTGTTTTATATTGGATTTTAGCGAGTCTCTGACTCTGATTATATAATACGAGATATATCCTCATAATGCAAAGTAATAAATATTCGTACATTTTCCTATATTTCAAACAGTGGTAGAGCAAAAACGATAAAATATCCCAAGGTTTCAATGCTATTCTGTGAATTGAATTATGCGGAAAAGCAGAGAGAGATATATATATGGTATAATGAACCAGGGGTTAATGTGTTGACCGTAATGAAAGAATTGCGCGTAGTGCTAATTTATGACAAGAAATTAACGCGTCCCAACGCAATTGAATTACAATCTGTCGGAAGCAGACGGCCCATCGATAACGTACCTGCATAACAATAAATTTTTTCGCCGCCTCGGAGGCCTGTCTCCCCATCTGCCGAGGCTCGATGACACGCACGACCATCTCGCCTCTCCGCTCAACAGCTTCGAGGGCCGCCGCTGTCGATGCGTCATGATCGTTTTCGACAGTCTCGATCTGCTTGAAGATCTCTGTACTGATCCCGCTCACCTGCAACGGTAGATCCTTCCGTTTTAGAGAACGCGTAGCGAGATTTCGCGAGATCATTTGCATGGACCGGTGAAATTGTCTCGACGACGGAAGCAATGCTTTTCACATTCGTTGTTATTTGTTATATATTAAATCATTTTCATCATGCAAATATTTAAAAAATAGAATATAGAAATAATGTATTGATCGATATAAGTAATGAATAGAGAAAGGTAATTTAAATTAAAATATGTATATACGATTTTATTAATTATAATACATCTTGTGATAAGATCTTTTAACTTTCAAAAAATAAACGTACACGCATAAAAATTAATTTCTGGCTAATTCTCTGCATTGATAATGGACTGGTAAAACGTCGCTATTATATTTTATATTCATTTTGCTTGTTCACGCGAAGATCGAGAAACGGAACGGGTTTAATTTAAATTTGGCAATTGTTTAATATAATAGCGATCAGATTACGTGAACAATGCATGGCAACTAAAGCCGACGCCAATACATTTCTGCCGGTCGTCGAGACAGCTTCACGAACGACACAATAGGGTCCCGGGTGTCGGAATCCTGTCGTCGTGCTGTCCGGCAATTGAAGTTTGCCGACAACAACGAGCACTAAATTCGTCCATTGTGTCGGCAACGAGTTAATGAAGTGTCGCCACTACCTTCCTGAAGTCTCCTTGAATGACCATGGGGGGTGGTTCCTTGGGGCGCAACTGGTTGGCAGGTGCCTGCCTCCCAGGACTTGCGCTTATGTCTGTCACTTCCCCCCGGCCCTCCTGCAAAACAATAACCGGTTACTTTCGCCATTTGATTGAACCTAAATTAGTGGTTAGCGTTTGATTATTACGGAACGACGGAACGAAATGTAAAGTGACGATCGTATAAGTTCCGCGCCGTCGAAATGTGACCGCGATTGGGTTGAGCAATGATGTGCAATACCGAGAAAGTTTGAACGTTCAAGTGATATCCTTTCATCGAAAGCGGATTAGTTAGGGTCTAGATCAATGATAACCGCAGCAACCAAACTACATACGTCACGGGTCAGCTACACATGTCGCATATTCCATTGGCAATTACGTAACTTGGCTTCTCCACATCTTACGTCATATAGGATCGCAGTGATTTCGAAAATCGTGTGATTATGATGATTAATGGATTTGTACTAATATAAGTAGCGATATCAATTATTTAAGTATGTTATTTTATATCTCCGTATTAAGAAGAAATTTTTGAGAATGAAAAATTCAAATTATTAATATGATTGATGAGATTTTCATCAATAAAAAGCAAATGATAAAAATCGTGTACACTTAAATTTCTGGTGTTACTTCTTAAATGTCTCACGTTAATCTCAATGAACATGATTGTGTGAGTCGCAATAAAGTTACCGAATATGAGATCAACCAGAGAAGATCATCTAGAATATATACATTTTTTATTCGAGACAAATGCGACGTGTAAATGTAAAGCCTCGTCAAGATCCTTTCGGGGGCAGGAGGAGGCTTCTCTTAACGAAGCACGCGGCGTCTCGCGGAAACTCATCAATCTGTCACTTCGACAATGCACAAGCACCAGCCGTAAATCCCCGCGCTTGTCGATCGTGATTTCAGTCGGATTTGCACCTCACTGAGACCATCGAGAAAAACGCACTCTTATCGAGCCACGCGCGCTTCGAGCTCATCCACCTGTCACGCTAACGTCACGAACATCACCATAAATCTTTGCGCCCACTCATTAACTGCGATACCAGGAGATACGAAGGATTATATTCGCTCATATGAGGGATTAAGATTTTTGCGGGACAGTAGAACCTCAAACCAATCGCGCGCGCGCATGCGCGCGCGTGCCTCGAGCAAGCCATTCCACCTGTCAGCATACTTAACAGTCGATGGAAGAACTAGCACAAAAGGTGAACCGTGGGAAAAACGCACCCCGCGGAGGCATGTGACCGGAACGAGCCACGCGGCGGTGCCGCACATCCGGTCGCAGACCGACAGCAGGGACATCCACGCTGCCGCGGCCGATTTGCAGCCCCTTTCGCTCGCCGACGACGGCGGCGGTGGCGGCTCCTGGAGCTCCTTGCCGCCCTTCCTGCCGGTAGCCCACCACCCCCGTGTTCCGTCCGTCTTCTCTTTACGTCTCTCGGTCTCACCCGTCTGCCCGGCGAACGCCGCCGCGCGTGTCGCGCTACCCCGTCGCGGCGGTCCCATACGTGCGCGAGTCCTCCTCAGCCAGCACCCGTACACCCCGAAGACGCCGGCCGGTCTTCCTCCCTTTATGACCCGTCTCTCTCTCGAGCGCAGATTGCCAGTCCCTTCTCGGTTTCACGTGACCGGCGAACGGTGCGAAAGGGCGCGCGTAGGACGGTTAGGTAGGTGTCCGATGAGGAAATGAGTGCGACAGAGTGAGAGAATGATAAATAGACAAACGGAGAATGAGGAAGTGAATTGTGTGTGAGAGAGAGAAAGCGCGTAAAATTACCTTGCGGAAGAAGAAACACCCCGAGCCACCCCTGTCGCACATCCTCGCCTACCCCATGGTGGCTAATATGGCGGGAAGCGGCGCTCAGGAGCGAGTACGAGTATCGGCGGTACGAGTAAGGGGTAAAAGGCGCGCGTGCGCCATCACCGACGGGTTACCGTGTTGCCGCACGCGGAGGAGTAGTATGTGTGAGTAGTATCGACCCGCGTGACGTCACCTCATACCCTCCCTCAACATGCCCTCCCCCTTGCCACCGCTCTCTTTCCAACCCCATCTCCGCACTCCTCTCACTCGGTCGGCTCCTCTTCACCCTCCTCCGCCCTACGCGCTCGAGCACTTCTACTACCTCACAGCATACCTCAAACGTGGCGCTCCTCCGCCGCCCCCCCCCCCTCTTAACTCCTCACCCCTGCGTGCCCACTCGATTTCTCTCTGTCGCGTCCGCCGCTTCTTTCCACGTCATCCTCTTCTCTCATTATCTTGGTCCTTCCTGTCTGCGTTGTCCTTCTGGCCACCCTCCTCCCCCCCTCTATGTTCGCCTCTTTTCTCTCATCGTCCACTCCCGTGACGTTTCCTGACTCTTCGTTATTCGCGGTTTCTCCCCCCTTCCCTGCGCCGCCCCAAATATCTCCGTAGTGTTTCGGCAATCTCGTTCACGCCTTTTTGCTCAGACTGAATTACGCACGATCACCCCTTGCCAACTTATCTCGTCCCATTTTCCTTTCGGGGCGCTCTTTGGAGCGACCGGCACGTCAACCGCTCGCTGTAGTTCTTCCGTGCTTTAAGCCTTCTCTCTCTCTCTCTCTCTCTCTCTTCTTCCCTCCTTCTTTCCTATTATTTATATTCGCGTTCCTCGCATTTTTCTTGACTGTGCGCGCAAATCGCCGCTGCCTCTGTGTCCCTTAAGTGGCGCTTTTCATGCTTCTCTCGCCTCGCGCATGTCTTCCAATTTTTTTCCTTTTTTTTCTCCCTCGCGAGATGCGCCCTCGCACTTCCCTCTCCCCGAGAACTCGCGCTCCGTACTCGCCCCCGCGCGGTCGCGGCTCCCCTCAATTGGATTCTCCCCATTTCGCTTACTTCTTATTGCGCTCGCTGCCACTCCACTTACGGATGTCAGCGGTCGCGCCGGATTCTCCTCCTCCGACCTCTCTCACCTCGCACGACAGCGGCAACCTTGCGTTCGCACTTTTTTTTTCGGTACGACGGATTTTTGCGACCCGTGAGAGTGGATTTCTTTCTGATCCGTACTCGCATTCGCGTTCACCCACCATGCATCAAAGTGTCGTCCCGGTCATCCGCGCGCGGTTTCTTCTACCACGATAATGTCCCAGGTTATTTCCGCGTGTATCTCACCGCCGGTCTCTCTCACCCCCTTGTTTTATCGCTGCATCTTTCCTTACCCATTTTCTCCGCACGATATCAGTTTGCACATCACATATTCTCGTATCATTTCACATGTCATCTCGCGTGTTTCCCGAGTGATACTCTTTCCCTCCTGCCCCCTTCCTTCTCTCCTTCTCTCCTTCTCTCTCTTTCTCTCTCTCTCTGTCTGTGTCTTTCTCTTTCTCCTAACGTACATTTGCTGGTTTTTGCGCTCTACCTCCGTGCAGCTTCCGTACGCTCGATATACAGAGTATTTACTTTTTCTCGAGGTTCTTCACCCCTCCATCACGTCTGTTCTCGAGTCGGCTACTACTTCCCCATCGCGCACCCAACTTCTTGCTCCACATATGACGACGGTACGCAACTCCATTACAGACAGCAGCTGCGACTTGAAGCTAGCGCGACTCGGAGGCCCCGGAGCGATAAATAAGCCCGGGGCGGGGTACAAACGCGAGAAACGCCGGTAATGCACTTTTCGAAGTAGTCTATATCATCATCCTCTCGCGTTGACATAATGCGAGTCGTTTTCTAGCCGGAGGGCCACCTCTTCGTAGAAACGTGAAGCGACATTGAGCGAGAGGAGATCGCCGGTATTGAATGTACAATAATATTTTCATTGAACGGCAAACTTACGCTGTTTTTCTCGCGAAAAAATAAACGAAGTGTCAAAACGAATACGGAAAGCAGCTCGACGAAACATGGAAAAATGACAAATACGAGAGGTATCTCGCAAAAAAAAAATTTTTTTTTACATAGAGCTTCCCTTGATATTAATTGCTTTATGTTATCTCATCTTTTGAAAGAGCGAAAAGTCAATGTAATAGCGATGTCACTTTCAGCAAAATAATTCCATGTCGCAAACATCAAAGGTTGCGCAGGTTGAAAATTGATCTCGCTGAAACTTCGCGGACAACGCAATAGTTGGTAGCGATAAAATTCACAGATGAGAGTAGGTATAAAGACATTATAAATAAGATGAAATAAATTGATCTCCATCGCCGCCAATATAATTCGTCGATTTCCGGAGGATCTATTAACGGTTACGATAATCTGGGTCGCGGCGATCTCCCGACATCCGCTTCGAAAATCACCGAATCTCACGTAGGACCGAACGGCTGCTCTTCTCCACCGCCTGCCCCGCCGCCCTTGTCGGGCCACCCGCGCCCACCCACCCCGTCGCTATTTCGCCGACGTATCCAGTGACCTACGTGGATGCCCATCGCGATGATTTACGAGGTAGGGGAACGGGCGGACGACCGGATTCTTCCCCACCAAGCGGCGCGCGAGGAGTACGGCGCGAGCGTAATGGACGGCGGTGACAATATAGCAGTGGTAGTAACAGTAGTAACGCGTTGTAACGCGTGGACATCGGGGAATGTTGTAATGGCGTATGCACGGCGTATATTAATGCCGCGCGCTCCACGCACACTTTCCGCCACCAATTTAATCCGCAACGCTTTTTCCACCCTCAGTGCACTCACCCTCTCTCTCTCTCTCTCTCTCTCTCTCTCTCTCTCTATCCCTCCCTCCCTCCCTCCCTCCCTCCCTTCCCTCCCTCCCTCTCTCCTCTTCCCTTTTTCTCTCGTAGTACACTCGCCTACATTATAAAGCGGACGGAAACTCTCTTAACGATGTGCCGGATCCCTTAATGCGAGGAAAAATTGATTTCTTCATACGGTTTCTTCATAATTGAATTCCCTACTTACACGCGCCGTCGCATGGCCATCCGTTACTACTTAAACTTTTGCGGAAAGAAATTAAAAACTTTATCTATACAAACGGCGGCATTTTCTCAATTATATTATTATTATCTGTTATGATATATATGTATTTATTGTAGAGAATTATGTGATTTTGTCTACAATGGTAATTTTTATTGGCAAGAATTTCCACGATTGTCGCAGAGACCATG